AGAAAAATCTACTTGAGTACAGTAACGAAATATTTGTACTTCGTTACTTCCCATCTCTGCTGCTCAAAGGGAGTTTTTCCTCTCCACTGTCGCTACAAGCATGCTTAGTGTGAGGGATTGCCTTCGAGTCAATGAGTCGATGCAATCAACTGGTTTTCCTTAAATAGAAAATTTCGAATCAATTTGACTGTATGATCTGGTGAACTGTAAAGTGCCTTGAGATGACATCTGTTGTGAATTGCCGCTGTAGAAATAAAGTGAATTGAAATTTTAAAAATAAAGTGAATCGAAACATAAATCTAGTCTTTTTGAGTTTTATTTTTTCATTTCGTGTTAACTTTATGGTATATAGTGCATAATCTAAAGAAAGAAATTACAAAAAAAAAGATAAACAGTGTAATCATATTTCCTTCTCTTGTCTGATGATGATGTCAGACAAGCAGTATAACGTAGAAAATGTAAAAAGCATCAAAGTGTCGCAAAAAAGTAATAAAAATGTTTTAAAGATGTTTATTAGCATTGTTTAGTAAGTTAAGGATAGAAATATGTATTTCTAGTACCATACCTACATTATTAATAGCGACCTGGATGGATATCCAGGATCATGCTTCCGGTACGGATCGAGTAGTAACAGCATCTTTGTTGAATCTCGCAGGACAATGTTTGATCTGTGGTCAGTGAATTTCAGCTGCATTACTGCCACCCACTGGTGAGGAGTGCAACAGCTTTGTTGGAGGGGTTAAAGATTTGTTCTTGTAAATCTGTGATGCATATTCATTAATTTGAGATTCGTACTCGTAAATTTGTTTTTTGTATTTGTTTTGTTGCAAACTTGTGTAACTTTGTAACTGGTTTTCCTAACTTCTACATTTTTATTCTCACAGATAAAAATCTAATGTCATGTGTATCTAAGAGCCGACAACAAGTAAAATATTATTTTTTACTTTCACATATTTAACCATCTCCTCATGTGTTTTTATTTTTTTAAATAAAAAATTTATGTTATTTCCCTTTTGGAGTGTGAGGTTAGATACCTGTTCATATTTATTTAACAGTTATCTTATATAAATACCAATAGATTTCCTTTTTTAAGTCCTTTCCACATTTTTCTGCTATTAAGAATATTAAGTATTTACTGCAGTGAAAGTCACAGGACATCTAGATGATATGGTATAAAGTGTCAGTCATCTTAGGAAATCCCCTCCGATCACACACCGTGCATAGAGATGTTCACGACGGCATATTTAACCCAGCAGAGGGAGAAAAGATGTCAGGCTCTCCGTTTTCTTTCCTTTTCTGTTTGGATGTTAAAGAAGCTGATCCTTCTCTTAAATCCTTTTTTTTCAAAGGGTGCAACTATTTCCTCTACATTTCTATAACTGTGATGTCATTTTGCAAACTATTCTAGAAAGAAAAAAAAAATCTATCTAAAAAAAGGAAAGCTTAAACAGATTTAAGTTTTATTATTTTTCTGAAAGCACGTTATAAACGAAAAAAAAATATTAATTTAAAGATTTTAACATATATTTTATGGAAGAAAAATTATTTATACATTAGTTCCTGTATTACCCAACCTTTAGTATAATTTTATTTTGAAGGCTCTTATATAATCTCAGTAAACCCAAGGACAGTTTCATGTCTGTATTTCTCCCATTATGGCTTTTTAACAGTAGAACTAATCTGAGGTCATAAGACTTCAATTATTTTATCACATTTAGAAATAGAAACAGTCTTTTTATGAGTTTACACAACTCTAAGTGACTATTTTAATTTATCAGAGTACCTAAAAAATGTGTTCTTACCTGTGAGACCCAGTAGAACTAAAAGCCTCCCTGTATGGATCCACGTCAGACTCCCAGACGTTAGCAGAAGTTTAGTTTCCCACTGCTGGCCAACATTTTTTCTTCTGTGCTGTTTCTACCTGCTTGCAGAGGAAACATTGGCTAATTCTGAACTGAGCTGGTTTTGGACGTTTTCCTGCATGTCAGGTTTCCTTTCTGCGTCTTTAAAAGGTGGTCAGTGTGCAGCAGTAGCCGTTACTGCATGCATGCCTTCTGACAACCTGAGGTTTTATGCATCATGCTTCTCATAACCAGCAACAACACGGACACTAAAGCTCTCCAGATTTAACCCCCAACGTCTCCAACACACTCAAACACACACACCTCGTTATGCCGCCTGATCCCTGGATTTACGGGCTTAGTATTAAGAAAATACTCCTGCAATTTGGGATTAAATCCCCCCAAACCCCATATGACAACAATGACTCTGTCCATTTGATATCTTGATACTTGTCATCAGTCACTGGGTTTATATCTGTCAGGCACGGCTAGGACACCTGAAACTTCTAATCTGTCTGTTTAAATGTATGTGAAAAAAATTATGTTTTGTTTTGGTTTTTTTACAATACTTTTTGGGTGCCTGTCAAAGTAGAATTTTTCAGATTATTAACAATTGAGATTTTATTTTATTTATTTATTTTTTTGGTTTACTTCAAACATGCACACATTTACCTGTAAATCACCTCCTGTTTTACGCTGATGATTTCTCTGAGGAGGCTTCTTTATATTTACAGTATAGCTGCTTTGATTAAAGTGCTGAATAAAAGCAAAAGGCGTATTAGTCTGGTCAGTTATAAGAGGATTAGATGTAATTCAACTAAATTTGATTCTTTTGCAGAGGTAAAATAATGACCAGGTTTACTTTATGAAAACAAACGTTAGATTCTGATTTTTTTGTTGCATTTTAAATCATTTTATCTGTGACATTTATGTTTTCAAGTAAATTAGAGGAAAAACTATATATTTTTTTGTTGTTTCTCTTTTAGCCAGCTGACCGGCAGTAAGTAGCAACGGGTGGGAGAGGGACAACGCAACACAACTGGCATGTTTTGATGCATTTATCTCCATTTCTATAATCTTCTTGCTCCTGTAAACACCAGAATTTCCCCATTGTGGGACAATAAAGGTATTTTCTATTCTATTCTATTCTATTTAGGAGTTTCACTTCATACCTTGAAGGTGGGGGGTAAATGGAGGGGTCTAGCAGGTGGTAATTTGAGGAAGTTAAATGAATAAATCAACAATTCTGAGAGGTAATTCAACAAAAAAACATTGATCCCAATTTATTAAATGTAGTTTATTTTATTGCAATAAGATTAGTTGGAGGGGGTGAAAAAGCTTCCTTCTTAAAAGGGGGTGGGGGGTGTGTGGATTCACTGCCTTAGGACATTTCCATCCACTTTAAAAAGGGATAACACAAAAAATATATATTATTATATCATTATATTATACTTTGATTGATCATTTATTTCGAACACTTAATAAAAAGCAAATATAAGTAAATTGATAAAGTCATACAAAACAAAACAAAAAAAGAAGAAAAAGAAAAAAAAAACATATGTACATCCCATCATGTTCGAAAAGGAGTAGGAAGAAGTAATAAAACTTATTAAATCCTACCCCTGTTCTATATTAACATCTACCAATGTTTAAGCATACATACATATCTATATATACACACACACACACACACATACATATATACATATATATACATACACATACTCATAGATAAGATACCTATACATATATATACACACATGCATACTTACACATACACCCGTATCTCAAACACATACACACATACATGCATATACATACACACCCCAATTACTATAGACAGTATACACATATCTCTATCTACGTACACGTATATCCATACATATCCATAAACCAAAAACCCTTTTCTCTCACTACTTAATTTTCTAATTAAGGGAGGTGTGTAAGAGACAATAACAATTTATACTTTTTATTTTATTTATACTTGTAAAGTTTTTTTTCCCTGGAATTAAACGAAATAAATGTAAATAGGATATTTTAGAAAGCTTTGATAATAGAATATACCAAAAATAAGCAGAATAATCAACTTTAATAATTCCCAGAGGGAAATTACTTTCGTTACACGATCCAGTTACAGTTTATATATATATATATATATGTATATATATACATCCAACAACACAAGATACTAAGATAAAAATAAAAGTAAAAAAGAGATCAAATATATACACATATAGCTCTTAATAATCTTAGACTCTTATTAGTACAGAATGAAAGACAGTTACTTTCTCTCCTCAAACAAAATAGTCTTTAAATAAAAGTCTTCCCACATTTTCTATAAGTCTTGTTGAATCTTGCTGAGTTTATTTCTCCTGAAACACGTGATCTTTATATATTGACAGCTTCTACAGACATAAGGTTTTGCTCATTAGCTAAAGATCTGCAGGGTTTGTTTATGCATCAGACTGATCCTGCATATTTCCTTTGTCTGCAAGCAGTAAACTAAATAAAAATGTTTCCATGGAGTGTAGTCCTCAGGTGAGCAGCTGTTTTAGTCTCGGAATAATAGAATAAAATAGAATAGAAAATGTCTTTATTGTCCCACAATGTGGAAAATCTGGTGTTTACAGCAGCAAGATCATAGAAAAAAATAGGTCACACAAATGTGGACCATAGAAAAAATTATAAGAATAACATAATGGTGAAGAGTTAAAAGATAAACAATAAAATAATGTTCTGTAAAAAGTTTTAACAATATAAAAACTGCACACCTGCAGAATAAAAAGCTTCCATGTTTCTGTTTTTGTGGCGGCAGGATTATTCTTCCCTCTCCTGTGACCCACTGCAGGCCCGCACTCCAACTTTCAGACCTAAACTTTTCGACTTTCTCCGTCACATGTTGCGCCATACGCACTTCTAACTCGCGCGCTGATTGGCCGCATGTTCCGACCGCAGAACTACTGAGCGCTGTGATTGGTGGAGAGCGCGCGGAGGAGCCCTATGGTTGCTTGACTCCCAGAGCCGCTGGCCTCAGAGACCTGCATCAATCTCTAGCGTCCGTCAGCAGCAGCAGCAGCAGGAGAGAGAACAAGCAGCTTCATCATTATTAGGCTTTTATTTTGATTTTTCTTTTTTATGTTTTGGCCTGGAGGAAGGTGTTAAATACAAGCGGAGCTGATGTGGCAAATAAATGAATAAATCTCCCTTGATGTGGATTTATCTCCTAAATATCTGGATAAATATCAACTGTTTAACATTTAACGGAGTCACAGAGAAGATTAAGCAAGGTAAGGCCTGAGAATTATTTATTTTCTTTCTTTCTTTCTTTCTTTCTTTCTTTC